AGGAAATAATGTTGTAAACAGCTATTGAATTACTTTGAAAGCCACAAGAGTCTTTTTAACCGATATGTCCCTGAAAGACCTCACCTGAGTATTAACTAGCCTGAGCTCGGCTTTCTGAGATTTAAGGCCACATAGCGCAGAAAGGAGGAGAAAGAAGTACTGGCATCTGAGAACTCAGGAACTGTGGATGATAGATGCCAACAAACTTGAAGCGGGTTGTGGAAAACATTTTTAAAGTTTATACCTTTTCCTGAATAAAGAACAATGCGAATACAGGGAAAATTGTATAAAAAGTCATTTTATCTCCTATTTTCATCTTCTTACCCCTGGGGGCACATTCCTCTTCTGTTACTCTAATCTCTCAACCAAGGCCTGAACTTTTCCTTAAAGCATTCCATTCTAAAAAGCCAAATAGCTCCTTTCTTTCCTCCTTTCACTTCCTTCCCCCACCCCCACTGCATCAAAAATGTCATTCTAACAGTTCAGATGACTCCATATGGCTGGTTAAGCTAACTGATACTGCCGATGTGAATTCTATCTAGTCTACTCAGTTCTACAAGAGTTATTGGCATTTTAAAGAAGATGGCTTGATAAATCAAAGACATTCTTTATTTGATAGAATTTTTAGGACTAAAAGGACTTTCATATATGTGGAATCTTACACATTTTGGGACAGGGGTAAACCGTTAAGTCTGGTAGGTTAGCTTGGTTCAGTCAAACTAAAAATTTTATAGCTGATTACCTTCATCAAAAGGTGCAGAGACCATGAAAAGATGCTCAACGTGACTAATCTAGAGAAATGCAAATCAAAACCCCAATGATGTATGACCTCACACCAGTCAGAACGGTTATCAACAAAAAGTCTGGAAATAACAAATGTTGGAGAGGTTGTAGAGAAAAGGGAACCCTCGTTTGCTGTTGGGATTGTAAATTGGCGCAATCACTATGGAAAACAGTATGGAGGTACCTTAAAAAACTAGAAATACAGCTACCATATGATCCAGCAATTCCACTCCTGGGTATATACCTGGAAAAAATGAAAACACTAACTTGAAGATACATGCACCCCCAATGTTCATAGCAGTACTATTTATAATAGCCAAGACATGTAAGCAACCCAAGTGCCCATCAACAGACCACTGGATTAAGATGTGGTATTTATACAATGGAATATTACTCAGTCATAAAAAAAAATGAAATACTGCCATCTGCGGCAATGTGGATGGGCCCAGAGAATATTATGTTTAGTGAAATAAGTCAGACAGAGAAAGACAATATTATGATATCACTTAAACGTGGACTCTAAAAACAAAAAATGTATATACAAAGCAGAAATAGACTCACAGACATAGAAAACAAACTTGTGGTTACCAAAGGGGAGAGGGAATCGGGGAAGAACCAACTGGGGATATGGGTTTAACAGATACAAACTACTACATACAAAATAGATAAGCAATAAGGATTTACTGTATAGCTCAGGGAATTATACCCATTATCTTGTAGTAATCTATAATGGGATATAATCTGCAAAAATATTGAATTACTACTCTGTACACCTGAAACTAATAAAACACTGTAAATCAACGACACTTCAATTTTTAAAAAAAAAGTACAAAGACAGTTCAATGGGGGAATTGTTTTTTCAACAAATGGTACTGGAATAGCTGAACAAACACGTGCAAAAAAACAAATCTTGACACGTACTTCGCAGTGCACACAAACTAACTTCAAATGGATTATGGATCTAAATGTGAGAGTAAAGCCATGACATTCTGAAAGAAAATATTGGAAAAAAATCTTAGTGACCTTGTGTTTGGCAAAAATCTCCTAAATTTAATGCAAAAAACTTGAAATGTCAATAAATACAACTTAATAAAAACCATTTATACCTGACGAAGCTCTTATATCTAAACAATATAAAGAACTCTTACAACTTAATAATGAAAAGGCAAACAACTCAATAAAAATGGGCAAATAACTTGAATAGTCAATTCCTCAAAGAACATATATGAATAACAAATAAGCACAAATAAGCACATCATTAGTCACTGAGGAAACATAATAAAAACCCTACAGTGAGATACATCTACATACCTGATAGAACAACTACTTCACTTTTCCATAAGCCTTTGAGGAAAGACAACTTTGAACTTAGCATTTTCATTTATTAAACTGGTAGGATGTTATAGTCAGCATAACTCAATGTCATCTGTCAATTTCACATCATCCTGATGTTAACAGGAAAAAATTTTCAAGTTTACAAAATTGTGAGATGAGATAATTATCTGTATACTTTGTATCAGTGTTTTTTAGGAAGAGCTATGTCTTTGATTTTGGTATTTTAAAAAGGGAGTCCAGAGATTGGGATAGAGACCACACAGGGTAAGACAGATAATCAGAGAGAAAGCCAAGAGGCGCAGAAGAATATTTCCAGGCCTTGAAACCTCACGGAAGTTGCCGAGTTGAATTTTCAAACTGCTTTGGATTGCGGACTCCATTTTTATCTACCATTTTCTCCTTGTTTGAGCCAGAATATCCTTAAACTATTACCCTATGCCTGACCCATCATTATAGGTTGGAAGCAGATAACTTGTTCCTTTAGTTTCACAGGGCCACAGATGGATAGGAACTGTACCCCCCAAGGGTATTTGATAGTATATCAAGAGCCTTATTCATACCTGACTTAGAAGCAGATGAGAAGATTGAGGACTTTTGAGCTGAAGGATAAGGCATTAGGGGCCCTTGAGATAGGGGTAAATGTATATCGCATTTGGGAGGAATGTGACGCTTTGGGGACCGGGAGATTTACACGGTCCTTGAAATATGCCCATACCCTAATCCTCAGAATCTGAAAATATGTTGTTACACAGCAAAGGGGACTTTAGCAATGTAACTAAGGTTACACACTTTAAAATAAGGAGATTAGCCTGGATTATGTGGGCGGGCCCAGTCTAATCACACAAACCCTTAAAGCAGTAACATTTCTCCAACTGGAGCCAGAGAAATGCAGCATGAGAGGAAGTCAGAGAGAGTCTAAGCTTCAGAAGGACCCAACAGCCCACTGCTGGCATTGAATATGGAGCAGGGACGGGATCTCAGTCCTGGAACGACAAGGAACAGAATTCTCCCAATTATCTGAATGAACTTGAAAGTGGATTCTTCACCAGAGCCCAGGCGGCTGATGCACTGATTTTGGTCTTTTGGGATCCTATGCAGAGAATCCAACTGAAACACAATGGGCCTTGACTTCTGATTTATGGAAATCACAAGATAATAAATTTGAGTTGTTTTAAGCTGCTTAAAAAAAAAAAAACATGTAAAATTAAGAAACTCTTCAATCATTCCTTCAAAATAGATTAAATTTATGGAATAATCTCCAAGGGGTCATCCTGCTTGTCACCAGCTCTTTTTATTTTTCTGCTTGAATACTGAGCTTATAATTTTGTCTTTCCCTTCCCCCCAAACCTATTCTGAGCCACAAAGAAGAGACTTCCTACAATATGGAAACTCTTTCTGAATGCCCTAACCTGATTGCTCTAAGCCGACAGTCATGGTTGAGAGGCCACTTCTCATCACTTTTTCCAGATATCACTTTTCACTTAACTTCAGATGTTTTGAAATGTCTTGGAATATTTGTTTGTAGGCTCATTTTGCATGTTTCTGTTTATTCCTTAATCTCTCTGCCTTCTCTGTGCTTTCATTGTGTATTAGTCTGCTCAGGCTGCTGTAAAAAAAACACCACAGACTGGGTGACTTGCACATCAGACAATTAATTTTATTTCTCACAGTGCTGGTGGCTGGGTAGTCCAAGATCAGGGGACTGGCCACTTCAGTCCTGGTGAGAGCCCTCTTCCTGTCTTGCAGGTGACCACCTTCTTGCTGTGACTTGTCTCTTTCTTTTTTTTTGTTAAATTAGTTTTTCTTTTTATGTACTATCATTGCTACATCACTGCAGCTCCTCTGAATCAAAGCGTGGCGTTTCAATGCCATCCTGACCAGAAGTCCCAAGATTCACAATTAGAAGTACTTTTCACAACACTCAAAACACTTGAAAAAAAAATTTTAAAGCTACACTCTTGTTGAGTGTCTCAGTGCATAAGGTAAAATGAAGATGTGGAATTTTTCCAATGAAAACATCTTCTGAGAACAAATATAATTCAATTTTTATTGATCTACATAACCTAATGGCATTATTAAGCAACCATCCACTGCCTGGCTCATCGTTCTGAATAAAAAGGGGTGCAGACTTTTGTTCCCTTTGAATAATAGGTAAGCGATTTCTAATCCCCACAAATGTTTCTCAACTTTTCCTCGACTAATGACTGAGTATGGATCTAAAAAGCAGTTTCAATGGGTTCATCAAATACTACACTAAAAGTAGGCCCTGTATGGTAAATAAATGCAAGTGTGAAACATGCATAAGCAGTAAAGGCACTGTCATATCACAAAGTTGCCAGAAACACGTCCCAGGCTGCTGCCAAAATCTTCCTTTAAAACATCGGAACTAATTACTTACCGATACAATAAAATTGGCCTTGAAAACAAAACTCCCCAAAGAAGGAGTCGTTTAACACTAAATCTCAATTAAATGACCTCCCCAAGTTCTTATAAAAAATAGCAGAGAAAACAGCAATTCAGATACCAGTCGAGGCTTGTAAAAATCGTAAACACCCTACTAGTTACCATTTTAAAGGCATTCATTCTCCGTATCTCTTACCTGGATGATGCAGCTTTGAAAGGGATTTCTGGATGCTGGTCCTAGAAACATGGTGTGACATAAGCAAATCCAACTGCTGCAACGTATTGACATGAACGAGCTCTCCTTCTTAAGAAAGTTGACTTACACATTTGAAATGAAAGAGAACTGAATTCTTTTCTAACTTCTTAAAAATTAGTGCTTGTCTAACATTGTATGTTTACGTTCAGCTTGACATGTTATGAAACTGGGCTTCAACTGCCAAAAAGTGAGAAAACACTCCTCGGACAGCACTCAAGGGTTTACAAATATTTATTTCTTTATCCTCTAAGTTGAACTAAATAGAAATTATACATAATGGTACAAATTCTGCAGTGTACAGTGGCAGATTCATGCAACAGTCAAAGAGACCCATTGTCAATGGTCTTTGCAGCTTGCCACCAGATGGTAATAAGTCTCATGGCTTATCATCAGTAAGAAGAAACAATATGGCACATGCTGTGATGGACACAGGCAAGCAAATAAAAGGAAGCCATACAGACAAAAATACCCCAATACAGTCCTCTAGCTTGTAACTAAGCCAGTTAGACACAAACAGAACACGCTGAGTTTATAATGAAAGCCAAAAAGATAACGCTATCTTCCCAACAAAAATAAAATAAACGTACCAGCTTACATAACATACTACAATCGAAAGTGTTTCTGGAAAATCTATTATTTATATCTGATTCAAATGCAACAGTTGTTGGCCTGAAAAATGAGCACTGCTTTTGAAGAAGTATCTCAATGTGATACTTTGCTCTAAGAAAAATAACAGTAACTCCTTACAGGCATCATGACTGTGGCACTTTCTCCTGGGATCTCAAATACCTATACAATGCTAAGTGATATTTTTCGTAAAGATTTTTTATTTATTTATTTTTGCGGTACGCAGGCCTCTCACTGCTGTGGCCTCTCCCGTTGCGGAACACAGGCTCCGGACGCGCAGGCTCAGCGGCCACGGCTCACGGGCCCAGCCGCTCCGCGGCATGTGGGATCTTCCCGGACCGGGGCACGAACCCGTCTCCCCTGCATCGGCAGGCGGACTCTCAACCACTGCGCCACCAGGGAAGCCCGCTAAGTGATATTTTTAATACATCAGTCAGGCTGAAGACAATTCAAGGACAACAGCTGCTGTGTTTGTTTCATGCTTACCACTAACACTCCAAACGATTTACTGTAATTTACAAATTTTACAAATGTTCATAATAACTATGAAGATTTACAAAACCCTACACCCTATAGCGAATATTACACACTTGATTAAAAACATCCTAAGTATTTAACTAACTTTAGGAAGGAAAAAACTCTAAAATATATATGGAATTGCCACTTACTAAGCAGGCAAAGACTTTCTGCTCCCTTTTTGCTAGAGCTCTTATGAGTGTTTATTACTATTTTTAAATCCTGTTTCTCCAAGTTGATAGCTTTGCACTGAAATATTCAGTAATAACCACAAAAGAAAACATTAGCAATGTAGAAGGCTAGATGTGGAAGAGACGTTACAAATCATAAAGTAAGATCCATTCAAGTTGTAATCCTTCTAGTTAACAAATCTCCATCTCTAGCTCAATGGGTGACACAAAACTGAAAACAGAGGTGCACATTGTCCTATGCCAAACTCATTCTATTCACAGGTCCTCTCCCTTCCCAGAGAATAACATAGAAGACAGCTGAAGAAGCAGGAGACTGACCCCACATGGAGGTGTCCCTTTGAATCTAGGATGGGTAGTTATGGGTTATGTTTCTTTCTCAGCTGTGTGTTCCCAGAGGGCACGGGGTCTGGCGAAAATGTGCTCGTGTCAAGGCAGGTGACTAAGTATGTGCCCTTCCTGAGTTCAAGAAAAAGGGGATAAAAAGGATCAATTCACCTGTGATTTTCCAAGCTTGGGCATGTCGCAAAGGAGATTCTAAATTTGATTTCTAATGCCAGACAGAACAAAAGATTGCAAGTATGTTTTTGTGGTATGTTTCAGATTCTCAAGGACAGGACAGCATAGGTTGTTGGTTTGTCTTTTGAGAGGGCAATGGAGATTTATCTTAAAGTATGTCATGATGTGTGTGTGTGTGTGTGTGTGTGTGTGTGTGAGACTGTGTACCTGCACTCACGTATGGGGGGAGAAAAGAGGAGGGAGGAGCCGGCGGCAGAGAGACAGAGAGAGAGACAGAAACTGAGAAAACAGAAAAATAAGTGTGTGTGAAATTTAGTGCTCTCCCTAAACTGTGAACTTGTGTCCTCAAAATTTTCTTACCAGGCTTCTTTCAAGTTAGCATTTTAAAAAGCTTCTTTCTTTTTCTTGTTAAAATAGTCATCTCATTTTAGCTGAACAGCTTGTAGGACCATTTATTCTTAAGACTTACGTCATAGAAAAGTTATTTTCCTTAGTCTTCTCTCTTCAGTTACCAAATATTTTAGCTCACAATTGACGTCACTGCTATCATTATTATTAAATGCTTGTGTGTGTTATTTAAAGTGATAACTACTTATACGGCAACTGCCTTATTTTAAAAAAAATTTGAATTCAGGAGAAAATCCTACTTTCCCTTCTCTTGTGTTAATGGAAGAATATTTTCAATTATGCTTTGCCTTATCTGTTCACTTTGAGTATTTCAGACATAAAGTTTGCTAAGGACCCTCCCTGTGATTTGTGGTTATGGCTCTATTTCTCCATGTTGGGCAGGCTTTCATTGAAACAAATACAGTTTTCGGTTAATATTGGTGGGCAGCAATGACCTCCAGTGGATTTCTAGGTAAATAACAACTGCATTTTTCAGAGAATGTTAACTTCTGATATATTTGTTTCCTTTAGGACTTTTGGAGCTTGGCAGCTTATTGAATGAACTTTCCAAACTTTCTTAAATTTGTTAATGTTTGAATGAAATTGCAAACCATCACAAGTTATCAACACTTTAACTTTCTTAAATGTATAGCCTATAAGCTAATTTTGAAAACTGAAATTAACGTTATTCAAAATTAACATTTAAATATTCATAATTGTTTTCATGTGTAATTCACTTGCTTTTATTTTGTGGCTAAATGAAAACTCTCAGAATTTCATATTTTAGAAAGTTAATGGCTAAACAGAAGAAAAAACTTCAGGAAATAAGCATTCTCAAAAATAAAAACTTCTGATAAGATTTATAAGAAAAAAGTTAAGGTGCTCTAAACATCTCAGTAGTTAAGTGAACCTCATGAAACAATTTTCCTATTTGTTAATATAAAATTGAAAGGAAATTTTGGTGTCTGAGAGCAGAATGCTTTACTTATTTTTAAATAATAAAACATGTTTCTGGAATATCTTTTAAATTTCATGGAAGACTATTTAAAAGGCATAAAATTTAAGTTTTAATAGAGCTTCAGTGCCGTAGTATCTTCATTTTGGGCTTGTGAGGTAATAATAAACATATTATCTCCACTTTAAAACATGATATAGGTATTAACACATTTTTACTCCAGTTAGTTTTTTTTCTGAAAATGAGCTAGATACAGTTACTGAGAAACTGGTTTCAGATCTTTACTGCACAATCCATAGAATTAAAAAAAAAAAGAGAATATACCTTTTCTACCACAAGAGGGCAGCAAAAATGTTTTCAGTTAGAGTCTGTCACTCCAGCTGTTCTGACATATTTTGCTGTTTTTCTGAGTAGTTACCTTGACTTTCTTCTTTCTGCACTGGAGTGAAATTGAAAGAATGTGTTTTCATCCTGAAACAGGACTATTGTGAATGTGGTTTAATGAATGTTTTATGAAAAGCACAAGCCTCAAGGTGACCACAATTTTTCCTTCACAGTTTACGATAATTACAACACACCTGCTTCATAAAGCTCATGGCTTAGACAACACTAACACAATAATTCTTAAAGACTACAGATGGTTCACATGAGAATGTTAAAGTATCTGATATTCTATATATTTTACATCGTGGTGGAAAGGCAAAATTCAGAAGGATTAAAACGTATATTTTTGCCATGATTATGAAAATCTCTAATTTTTCAGCAATATTGCAATAATCTTAAGTCTTCCCAGGGTAAAATAATAACTGCCAATGGAAAAGCAGACAAGTACTCAAAGCTACAGCTATGGTCACCTTTCGATAAATATAATGTGAAATCATCAAGCAATAACGTTTTTTAAAAATCAGGTAATTTTATGTACGGTTCAACCAGTCAAATGAGTATATAGAATAATTTACCATAACACCTTTATAGTCCTTTCTGCATTACAGAAATCTCTTTTAAGTAATGCAAAGAAGGTGGATGGTTTCTCTTTCTCTTTTTTTTTTGGTTTCTAAATATAAATTCTTCAGAAGCCAGTAGCTGGTTTCGCCCCATCAGGAGTCCAGCACATGCCTAGGCAGGCGATAATGCTCGGCTTTGGGACGGAGCTTTTTTTCCTGTGGGTTGGCATACTTCCACTTGGAAGGGGACATTTTAAGCTTTTTTCTCTTTTTATCCGTGCACCATACCTTTTCACAGTATTCTTCTACTCTCTGGAAGTTGCTATAACCAATCAGCTGCAAGAATTCCTTGTACCAGGGTTTGGTTCCATGTGGGATGCTGCTCTGAACAGGACAAGGCGTCTTGTGAGGCCCGTCCTCTTCGTAGTCTTTGGTAAACATTTCCTCCACTCTCTCCTCTTCCACAACCTCCAGGGTGATTTTACGGATTGTATGGACAAAACTATGTTCTACTGTCTGGCAAAAATAGGTCCCAGCATCCACTTTGCGTACCCTCAGGAAGAGTAAACCGAGGTCCATCTTAACCATTCTGTCATCTGTCTTCACCTGCAAGAAGAAGAAAATCAACGGCACTGAAGTATTATCCAGGACAAAAGAACGCCAACCTATAACCCTTTCCACTATCTAGAATTTTTTCATTTTTGTTATCGTATGATGAAATCCTAAAAATCATATATATAATTATATATATTATATACCTATTATATGAGTATATTAACTATATATTATATAAATGATGTCAGTATTTTATTTATAATTCATATTTTAATACATATATTTCTTTTATATTATATTTATATTGTTATACTATATATAAATATGGTATAAATATATATGAGAAAGAGGTAATAACATCAGGTATGTGTGTGTGTGTCCTGAACTTATTTATATTGAGATCACTTCATATCAATGACTTTGAGGTCAATTTACATCAGTATTGTTAAGAGCAAACTGAGAGAGCTTTCTCCCAGTTCAGCATAGCACTCAAAGTTTGAGTGAAATGAAGATTTGTCAAATTTAATTTCTTTTGTAATGCCAGAACAAATGCCATTTCTCACATTATTAGTTCAGGGGTTCTTATGTTTCCCAGATCATAATGCTCAATGTACCTACAAGCACCTGTGTTGAGAGAGCTGGGATACCTATACTCTCTCTCCTTACTGAAAAAAACCCCCAAAAAATCCATCCATTTCATTTCACTGTTTTTTGCTACGTATTTCATGACTGTTTCTTTGACCTTATCTCATGGCAGTCTCCCCCAAATCCTTCTTCTTTCTGTTCCTGCTTTCATGCCCAACTTCATTCTGTTTCAGGACCTAGAGGAATTCCCATACGGCTGGTTCCTTCTCAGCCCGAAAGGCTGAACCAAATGTCATTTCTTCAGGCCTCCTTCACACCCAATGTCAAAGTATCTCCTTCCCTTAATACCATCATTTCACCTGTTAACCTTTGTACACCCGAGCCTGCGACATTACCTGCAAATACATAACAACAGTCCTGTAATAAGTTTTCTTTTACCTGGTATCTTTCTCCTTTATGTCAACATATGGGCGCTATTTTACTCTTCAAAGTCCACTCCTTTTCGTCATGCTCCTGATTGAGAACTTATTCAGGCTCTATTGCTCCTCTGAGCAGGTGAGCATTGCTCAAGGAACCAGATTCTGCCTTTCTCATTGTCTATCCCAAAGCAGCTTAATGTGGTGTTTCTCACTAGGGTTGGTGGAAGAGGAACACTTCTGGAGACGAATGAATTTTCTAGAAGGATTTCTTAATGTGTTTATTTTCATGATAATCAATATAAATTAATAAACTCTATTTGGGATCGTGTGGAAGATCAACCTCATTGTGAGTCTTTGTGTTTATTCTGAACCATTTTTAAAGCTTGAATAGTTTCCAGCTGCTGAGAACAAAGGTACATTTAATATGTTACTGATACGTTCCAGCCATATGAAAACCAAACAACTCTACGTGCTAATGTACATAAAAAGTTTTGAGGTCACTTGAACAACGTGTGTGGGGACTGCGTCATCATATGGCACAAGGTGCTGTGGACAGATGTTTTACACACACACGTACACACACGTATGTGGTAGTCTGTATTCCAGAATATGTTCATGGAGATACCTTATTTCAGCGAAAAAAAGTCATCACATTAAATAAACATTTAAATGACGCATATATTTATTTGTAAATTTATTTTCATTCTATATTTGAATAAAAGCTATGAGCATAAAGAATGCATTTCTGGTTTCAGTCTTGTGAATATTTAATAAACACTCTAAGTGATGATGGCAGCCCAAGAAAATGTTTTACTTTTAAGGGCAGGTGGTGGGGGGAACCTATACAATACTAGAATCAAACCTTCCTCCTCACAACTGCCACTGCTCTTGGCCCCTGAGCTCTCCCCTTACTTCGCACTTCCAGGTCTTATTCTGGTCTTAGTCTTTCTTTCCATTAGTTGAACTCCTTTCTGTTGTTGGGAACTCCACCCGTCCATTACTTAAAAAAATTCCTTCTAGGCTTAAATTTCCCCTTCTTAAATGAATACTTTCTTTACAGCCCACAAAAATCTTTTGTTTCTTTTTGTAACTCAATAGCATTCACATCTGTAGTACATAAGTTGGTATTTTTATTCCTCTTCAAATTATTTTTCCATACAATTTTTATCTCTTGAACCATATACTAAGTTTCATAATGGCAAAGGCCTATCTCCTAATCACTCTGAATATTCCACACTGAGTGCTCAGAACACACTGAAAAATGAGAACATACTAATTAGTTCATAGTGCACAAACATGCAAAACAATGGGGTATACCCGTAAAGATACATCCAAAAGTTATTCACTTTTCCTAGGTAAGTTCAATAATGACTTGGGTAGAGAGGAAACAAGCATGATTTCAGGAGCAGTTACTAACTAATGAAAGAAGAGGTCTGTGCTCCACAGATACATAGAAAAAACAGTTCCAGGACACTGTCTTCCCCTGAAAAGAATCTGCATACAAACATCATCACGAATATGATCCTTTGATCTCTCCCTACTATACTCCTGTGAGAGTGAATAATACATGAGAAAACACGAAAGTCACCTAGCCTAGTTTCTGGAATAGAGCAAGCAGTCTATGAAAGTGTTTTGAAATAAAGCAAAAATAGAAATAAATACAAACCTTTCATCACTGGATGAGAAGTAGTTTCTTGTTTTTTGTTTTCTGTTTCCAAGTCTGGTATAAAAAGCAGGTGTTTCTTTCATAATCAGAAACCCAAGTTTGAGAAACTGCACTGTGTATAGATAAAGTCCAGACTGGTTCAAAAATGTGGAAGCACGACAATTACAATGAGAATTGTCCTACATCATTTATTTGCATGTTATAGATAGTGCCTGTCTTGGAATTTTGGTCTCCCCTCCTGGTTACAGTGAATCATAAATTTAGGAAAAGATGTTTTAACTCTTGAGTCTGGACAGCTGTACACTATGAAGGTTAAACTGCTTTGAAAGTTAAATATATCTTCCATGACCTATGATAAAAATATGCCTAAAAATAAAAAATGACTTAGAAATTTGGATTTGAATTCTTTCCACAATGTAATCTTTCCCCTTTTGTTAACATGGATATCTTCAACATCAAATCTTTATTACAGAATTGTTTTCATCCAGCTGTTCTGTCTGCAGACCAGATTTCCTTGGTCAAGAAGATGGTACAGGGACTTCCCTGGTGGCGCAGTGGTTAAGAATCCTCCTGCCAATGCAGGAGACATGGGTTCGAGCCCTGGCCAGGGAAGATCCCATATGCCGCGGAGCAACTGAGCCCGTGTGCCACAACTGCTGAGCCTGTGCTCTGGAGCCCGCGAGCCACAGCTACTGAGCCCACGTGCTGCAACTGCTGAAGCCCACGCACCTAGAGCCCGTGCTCCGCAGCAGGAAAGACCACCGCAATGAAAGGCCCGCGCGCCACAACGAAGAGTGGCCCCCGCTCGCCGCAACTAGAGAAAGTCCGCGCACAGTGGCGAAGACCCAACGCAGCCAAAAAATAAATAAATTTATTAAAAAAAAAGAAGATGGTACATAATACATCACTTTATCAAATATTCTTATAGGCAATCTATAAAAACACAAAATTTCTTACTGAAAATGGTTTTAATATTTTTAGCTATAAAGATTGATTCAGTATGCTTCATAATGTCAAATAAAAAAAGTAGTTGAACAAAAACCCTGCACATCTGGTAGCTAGTCAGGAAGAAGCAGTGATTTCCATGTGTATCAACCATATGATATGGTTCCACACTTTTTATAGGAAATGGACAGACATAGGCCTTGAATTAGTTAGTTCAGAATATATTTAACAATGAAATCAGTTTTAGTAAAGAAATAAAGACCAACAATTTTATATATTTGTTTATCTGGCCTTCTTTCAATAAAAAAAAATTTGTTTGACTTACAGAAAATGTGTCATATATTACAGTATAAAAATAAAATTTTCCTTTTATTAAAAACACTTTCCAATGTGAACTTGCTATATGACAGAGATGATTCCCCAAGAGAGACAGGATGAATTACTTAATAGCTCATTTGGGGGAACCTACCACACTATACAGAGAACAAGTAAAGTTGTATTTACTTCAGATTAAAGATCCACCTGGAGAAAACGTAAATCTAACACAAGAAGATGCTGAGAAGAAAGTTATCATAAATAAGAACTCTATACTGTGAAAAATGTATTCAAAATATCAACTATATCAAAGAAGTTTGGAATATTTACATTCAAGAATGGATTAATGTACACAGAAGATGCAAAGAATTCTTGAAAGTCAACAAAGAGAAATAAAAGATGGAATGGAAAAAGCATATAAATAGGCAATTCAGAGGAGAAACCCAAATGTTTAATAAGTATGCAAAGTTAATGTTCAACCTTACTAGTAATTTTAGGAATGCAAATTTAAACGAAATACTACATTATACCCAGAAGAAAGGCAAAAAATAGAAAATACCAAATATAGGTGAGGATATAGGGAAATGGGAACCCACATGAACTGCTTTGAGAGTGCAGATGGTGCAGAAATTCTGCAAAGCAAGCTGGCAATAGTTATAGAAATGAAAGATGTTGACAGATAATAATTTAGAAATTTTCACTCAGATCTATAAGGGGTTACCTGCAGAGATGATCATTAAAGATATGGTAGTGAGGGCTTCCCTGGTGGCGCAGTGGTTGGCAGTCCGCCTGCCGATGCAGGGGACATGGGTTCGTGCCCCGGTCCGGGAAGATCCCACATGCCGCGGAGCGGCTAGGCCTGTGAGCCATGGCCGCTGAGCCTGCGCATCTGGAGCCTGTGCTCCGCAACGGGAGGGACCACAACAGTGAGAGGCCCGCGTACCACAAAAGAAAAACAAAAAACAAAAAAACAAAGATATGGTAGTGAGAATTAACAACACTCTTGGTCCACTCGTAGGGGAATGGATCAATTAGGAGCAATGAATACACGCGATGGGATGAGCAGCCTTCAGAAACAATGAAACAGAGACACACAAAGCAACAGTGATAAACCATACAAA